TTAATCAACGTTGATTAAACACTGATTAAACACTTGCTTTGCTTTCTGTCCAAATAACACAAGAATAAAAGAACAAATTTTGAACTCTATTTTGAGTGGATCCAATCGATCATTTTGTAACATAATTGGCGTGGTCGGCAGGATCACAAGAATAAAAGAACAAATTTTGAACTCTATTTTGAGTGGATCCAATCGATCATTTTGTAACATAATTGGCGTGGTCGGCAGGATTCTTGGCTTGCATTTGGACAGAATACAATGGCAAGCAGGTTTTTCTTAGGGAAAAGGAACGAGAAAGAAAAGGAAAAGAAGGGTAGGAGAGAGACCATTTGGACCTTACCTCCTGATAATCAAGGACAAGCTGATTGTTATGATGATATGTTACATAATGTTCAACAAGAAATAACTGGAACTCAGGAAGTAACAGAATTATTAGAAAGAGGAAAAAAAGAATTATTAGGAATCGTAAAAGGAGAAAAAAGTCCATTAGGAAAAATAAAATCTACAGTGTATAAGCATATACACCCTGTTGTCAGTAAAGAAGAGAATAGGGACAAAGTTCAGCCAGTGACTATGGTCTTTCTAGATTATGTTATGAAAGTGGCTCTGGAAGAAATTGAGGATACTAGGAACATTATGATGATGATGCAGGAGGAGATTAAAAAGAAAAATGAGGAATTAGTGGAAAAAAGTGTACAGTATAGACAAGCTTTAGAACAAGTGCTTGAAAAAACGGAAATAGCTAGAGGAATGAAACAAACTATGGAAGACCAAACTAGACAATTACAAGAAATGAAGGCAAAAATACAAAACTTAACACAGCTGACAAGTAAGATTGGGGCTGTTAAAAATAAACAGGGACGGGTTTCATGTATGAATGCACATGACCCATGGGAAGAGTTTGACACCTCTTGTTGTGATGAACCTGAATATTATAATAACCCTTGTTGTGGTCCTTTTGGGTCTCACATATCTGCTGTAAAGAAGGTTTCCATCAGTGCAGATACGGGTAGGGGATTTAAACATCAAGTTTCTTATGAGCCACTTTCCGCAGGAGAACTAAGAGATTTAAAAGGAAGATTAGGACCCATAAAAGAACCAATTGAATGGGCCACTAATTTGGCTCTCGAAATGGATAAAGAAAATCTGATAATTTCTGAAGTCCAAAGGCTTTTTAGGATGTATGCTGAGACAGCAGATTTTAGTCAGAAATTAGACAATGAGCCTTGTTTCATAGTTTTGAGGAATTTCATTGAAGATACGGATTTAACAGGAGCCCGAAGAATAGTGATGAACAGGACACAACAATCAGGGGAAAGCCCAGAACATTATGCTAAAAGATTTGTTACAGGATTATATTTGGCAGGATTATATCTGCCCCCTGATGATTTGCCAGAGGAAGATATTAATTGTGGAACTTTATTAGAAACAACATGGTACTATTGCTCCTCCAGGTTATATTTGGGTATGTGGAAAAGGAGGATTTAAACTTTTACCAGGAAGTTGGAGAGGATCGTGTACTCTTGCTCAATATGTGACTCCTGTTTCTGTGCATAAAATCTTACGCTCTAAATATATATATTCTCCTTTGAGATATAAACGATCTTGGGCTGATGTTGGTGATTTTCTAGCTTGTACAATTTTCCCAGGTTATCAAACCTTGCAACAGATTAATACAGATCATTTTGTTCATAACCTTTCTATGCTTTTAGAAGCAGGTTTGAATACTACTGGAAAAGCAATTATTGACCTTCAAGAAGAAATTGATTCATTGGCACGAATTGTTACTGACAATCGAATTGTCCTTGATAGTACGTTGGCTGAACAAGGTGGAGTCTGCATAGTGTTGAATTATTCTTGCTGTATGTATGTTAACAATTCTGGACTAATTGAGGACGTCCATAAAATCTATCGTGTTGCTGGTCTTACAGCTGAGGCCAGACAGTCGTGGGAGAAGATACACAACTTATTTAAAACTGTTTGGGACACACTAATGAGTTGGATACCTTTTGGATGGTTAAAAAGTTTATTCGTTGTAACTGTTTTCATCGTATTTTTTATTCTGATTACTTGTTGTTGTATTCAATGCTTTCCAATGCTTGTTCTTCATTTAAATTGACTCGAGCATAAAAGTAACAATATTAAGTAGTGAGCTATTGCTCTCTCCAGTTCACAACAGCTCAAGAGAGGGAACATGTAATGAATTTAAGCCTTCTATATAAATAACCATATAGCCATAGAACAGCCATGTTTATCCTATTCACGGACTTTACTAGGAAACTCACGTTGCTGGCATGAAGGAATGTTGGAATGTACGCGAGATACCTGGTACGAATGAGTTCTCAGCACGATAAGGCTGGAGCGCTGGTGGGTGTAAGGAATAAACTGACACATCATGAATTTCTGAGATAACGGGACGAGGGGTACCATTGTAACAAGCTACCCAGCTGTACCAAACACGAAATGTTCCTGGCATGTACCGTACCTGGATGGCATGGACGAAGATGAGCTGGATGAATTCGAAGTAAACAAGCTGGGTATAAAAGGAAGGATGGAAACC